AAATATGCATCAGTTTTATTTCTGTACGATTAATTATACTTGTTAGATAATTAGATGATTAGTCAAGTTTACATTAAGCTAGTTACGCCTGGAAATTTTTATCATGCTGCGACACGTAGGACGAACGTAGCGAAAAACGGTAGGATGAAAGTGGAAATCGCCGGAAGTCTGTTGCTCAGTGAGACCAAAGGAGAGGCCAGAGATAGCGAGATAGAAGGAACTCCTTAGGAAGAGTAGTCCGCTCCCCCCGCGATCCAGACAAATGCACTCCAGTTGTTTTCCCCGGTTCGTTCCGTTCAGGTCTTTATCAAATCTCCTCTCCCCGTAGCCGGAGGTCGGGGGCTTTCCGCAGTTTGGAAGACGCGGCCGATAAGGTCCCCTCACTTGCGCGCGGATCGCGCTTGACGAAAAAAGGACGGAAGGACGGGAGCGGGCCGTGTGCCCGGGGGCAGGAGAGAAGCCACGATAAATACTTTCCACCACGTCGCAAAACAGAACGGGAGAGAGAAGATGAGGGCGAGGATGACGGTAGTTCGCAGGGGCGAAGAGTGTGATAGAAGAGAAAGAAGAGATAGATAGAGAGAGAGAGAGAGAGAGAGAGCTTCTTCACATCTCTTCGCTCACCGTTCGCAACGGGAGTCGAAAGTTTCCACTCTGAAGGAAACTCGAGTAGTTTCACCGATCGAGAGGCACTCTACTTGTGCGTTCGCCCTCTCTCTCTCTCTCTCTCTCTCTCTCTCTCTCTCTGTTTTTCTTTTTGTAGAGATGCTTTTCGCGCCAGTTAAAATCGAACCTTTTTTAGTGGCCGAATGTTTAATTGAGGCACCTTGCTACAATCAATAGTTTTAACGAGTACGATTGAAGACATTAGAGAGACGGTATTTACTATTTACATATAGAATAGAAAGAGTAGATAAATAATTAATCTGTCACATTGGCAGAATATTGCCAAATGTTGTCGCGTACACAAGTGCGGGGAAATTCATCTTAGTTACGACTTTAATTTTAACGAATCGGGCCTCAACTTTTACATCCGCTTTAAGTATGAATTATACATGCACTGCAATGCTTCATACATTAAGGCCACATTAAGGAACGAAAGGGAAGGTTGTTGATTTACGGATTTTTCGCGACGTGCACATTATTTCATAGCTGTACCCTCGCACCTCGCGTGGTGAAGGGGTGAAAGGGGAGGGGGAAGGAGAGGGAAGAGGAATTTAGCTAGCGAAGTGAAGTGCTGACTGCGGGAAAGGGAAAGGGAAGTAAGAAGAGAGGAAAGAACCGGGGAGTAGAGCTCCTAGCAGACTGGCGCGAGGATGGAGCTGTCCCAGCGGAGGGGATGCGGAATATCGTCTCGGTCCTAGCCCTCTCTTCGCTGCCGCGAGCGCAGCTGCCGTACTTTTAATATTGTTCTACCAGACTTAAAATATGAGACTGCGCCACAACTCCGGCCTCGTTGCAGGCTTCGAGGTCCGTTTCCGTCCTCCGGTCCAATCCTCCTTATGAAGAGGGAGACGCCGCGCCGCACCGGGTCCGGGTAATCTACTTGCGCGTAATAGCTTCGAAAAATCTCTCCTCCACCTAACTCGCGACTCCGAGAAATTACGTAGCAGCAATAATCACTAATTACCGAAGAACTTTCTTCGGAGGTCTCCTTATTAAACAGCGAGTTTCATTTATCTCTCGAGGGAAGGGGGAGAGGGGGGAGGAATAAACGGTCGCGCCGCGCCGGCACGGATACGGCGCGGCACAGAACGCGTCCGTTCCTCTTCTTTTTGTTATAACGTTACGACGGACGATAACAACTATACCTCGTGTTGTTTGTAGCCATCGCGCGAATCTGCGCGAAGTATCGCTCCCCCCCGCCCTCCCTCGATATTGAACGTAAGCGCTGACCACTGGATTTCGCGAAACTCCGGGAGTTGTCAACGCTCAAGTTTGTTTCCACGTCAATACATTTATCAAGGATATTTTTGCAGCCGGCCACAATTCTCAGCGTTGGGTCGGTCATTTTTTCCCTGATAAAAAATAGAGAAGAGCTTGGCGCGGCGGGGGGAGGACGAGGGCGGGGAGGAGGAAAAAAAGCGAGCCAGTAGGACGTATTTGTGGCACGCCGAGTGGCGCGCGCCCGGGCATGAAGTACAACCTGTTTGTTTCGATACGTCCGAACTGCCGTTTGTCTTAATTGTTTACCAAATTTGCTTTAGACCGTGGCACCGCTCTGTCACTCGCTTCGAACTCCGCCGCGCTTCTCGCCCAGTTTCTCCTCTGTATCGACTGCCCCTGCCTGCTTGCCTGCCTGCCTGTCTGTCCCCCGCCGCGCCGCCTGCACACGGCCCGATCCGCGGATTTGTTTGTTCGCAAAGTTCCGGCGCATTACATCAGAGGTGTCCGCCACGGTCCTGCGATTCCGCCCCGTTCGCGGAATCCCTACGTCCGCAACTTCGTAGACGCGGCTCCGCGCGCGCGACGCGCGTTATACATACCTATATACGAGTACATATAATACATATACCTATGTGTGCGCCGCATCTGCACACTTCACGGAGATCTCTCGCCGAGGTGACTACCGGTCCGACAAGATGTATCGCTCTTCTTTCCGACCGCCGCCGCGCAGATACCGGCGCGGATAGTTTCCGTTCTATATTTTATCGGTATTTTGAAATTCAAGGAGCCGCGGTGCGCGCGTTCCCTTCCCAAAATTCGACCCGCACGGACTTCAACTCGCACTTTGAAATTTTAACACTCGCGCTCGACAAGATACACTGCGCGTCCGTGCGATTGGTGAAGACATTGTCGTCTTCATTCTACTCCAAACGGCGAACCTCGTAGAAGCAGCTCGATGTAGCATGCTATTTTAAATTCTCCCTACGCATTTATTCTTCTTATTAAAAGTTTTATTATTAGGATATCTATACGTATCGGGAAACGTGTCGTTGAGTTTATGACTGTAATATCACTGAAATTCATATGCCGAACGTTCCGAAATGTATATGTAGAAAGTTAGTAGAAGGAATTAATACACACGAAATAGGCTATACAAACTCCGAATTGACTAGGTATAAAATGTAGCCCGTTGGAACTCCAAAGTTATAATTTTGGATACTCTGAGGACTAATATTACATGAGGTTAATATTACGGGTATTATGTATGCAAAATTGATAATCGAATTTATAGACTTAGAAATTATTGAGAAACAATCATTAGGAACGATCAGATTATTGAGATTTAAAAAAAATTATGAATTATTTATTCTGATAAATTGGTAAGTCGAAAATTTCAGTCAAAAGAAAAAAAAGCTATAAATATGTGAAAAATCTTTTAAAGATAATTAGTACAAATTACCAAATAAAGTTAACTAGTTTATTTGCATATTTATTGCATTGCATTTCTTTTAACTGAAATTTTTGACTTATCAATTTATCAGAATAAACAACAATTTGTAACGGTGTCTTTTGACTGAAATTTTCGACATTATCAAGCAACTCTTTTTCATTCACTGCTGGACATAAGCCTCTCTTAACCTATTTAGGTTAGAGAAGCCATTTTCCCTATTACACTGGCCAGTGCGGGGGGAATTAATTGATTTTGCTTGGTATGCGCACAGCGCAAGATACTCTTGGTGATTTATCATTACCTATTCCGGCGATAAAATAAAATCAGATGTTTTTGTTTTGTTATCGCGGTCGGATTTGAAGCTGGATCTGCGGCACGAAGAGCAGACGCGCAACTCTCTGCGTCACGATCGCCACTGTTGTTAAACGAATATTTCCACTTATAACATTTATCTAAATATTAGAAACACGTATATTAGTCGGAGATATTCTTTGTTCTATAATATTTTGAACTCTTTAACGACCATAGAAAATCTCTACGTCGAAATACACTTCAAACGCTCTTGTTAAAAATAAGTATATCGTCATCGAATATTAACACCCCATCGAAGACTCTCGACACAGATGCAACGAAGATCGATGTCGCAGGTTTGCTACGCAAACAGGGTTGGCGCCTGCCTCTGCGCCATCCGACAAGAGGACCGAAAATCCCCCGATAAAATGCGTTCGCGAAATATTCTGTGTCGCGACACAAACGAAATGCAAATGGCCAGGCTATGCGTCGCACAGACGTTTGGCAACACTGTTTGGGTTTCGTCCGAGGGGTGGTTTTGGCAGTCGGTAGGTGAACATAGAGGGTGTATACAAGACAGATAGAGCCACGAGGACGAAACGGAGAGAGAGAGAGAGAGAGGCTGAAAGGGCGAGACAGACCGAGTGAATGAACGCGGGTGTGAGGAAAGAGAGAACGAGTAAAAGAGAGGCGAGGGGTGGCAGCGAAGGGGAGGGAGCGGAGATGAGAGGCAGAGGCTGCGTTGGGTCGTTGTACCACGTCCCGTCCGTCAACACCTCGCCGCCCTCAGCCGAGCGAAACTATAAAATACACGCGACATCACCCACACCGCCGCGCCGCGCCGCTTTTTGGGTACAGCGTATACGCGTTATATCCGAGCCGATCGACTCCGCTGGGGCTCTTCGTCGGACTTTGCGTTCGATTCGAACGCCATTCCCTTCAAAATCCGCCTGCAGTATTTCGAATACTCGGTACACGACTGCCGAACGATGATTCAACGCATCCGGCGGCATACGCCCGCGCGCGCGCCGATAACGATACACTGGTCCGGTTAACTGCCGGATAGTGGATTTACGATGAGTGCCAGATGATTATCTCCTCGGATTCGGCGTGGCGCGAGCCCCGGAATTATCCCGCCCGCTTCGCATTCGCACGCTAATTGAAACGATCCCGGCTCCGCGCGCACCCAGGATTCAAGCAATTTCCGCGGACGCGTTATTTCACCAAGTAGGACGGAGGATCGCGACGACAGCTCAAGGAAGTTTCGCCGACGCAGCCGCCGTCGCCGATTCCGGCGAGTAATTATAAGTTGGACGAGAAACTGGAGAAACGTGCAGGGCGTGGGAGGGACGAGCTGGTCAAGCGCACGCGGTCCATTTTGTCGTTACTTTAATATTTCAAGATGTTTTTTTTGTTTGTACATCTCGCGCGTTTCGATATAAATTTTGCGTGTGAATCCGTGGCCTCGTGGCGTCGCGATGCTTGCGCGGCTTCAGTTCTATAGGGTCGTTGTGGCAGTGAAAGGGTCGGTACACCGGAGAGCAGCCCACGTCGGAGCTGCAAAATGGGGAGTGCGTGTTTTACGACCCATGTAAATCCTCGTGTCTCCGTGTATTTGTTGTTTAATTTAGATGTTTTCTACTTCGCGCCAGTATATCCGCCATATGGCCCATAGTGTTTCTCTCGTGGCGCAAACTCGTTGAATGCAGGCCGCTGCAATTAGTCTTTTCAACGTATGCGATAGCTATTATTATACAGGGAAATTGTGTGCGCGTGTTGTTACCATTGCGCGGCAATTGTTTCTCGAATTGTTTCTTAAATCTCGAATCGTTCGATAGATTGAAATATAACGAGCGAGTATCACGTAAAGAATGTATGAACGTCTCTTGACAATAACGTACAATTTTTCTCCGAGACTAAGGTAACCGTAGGTATTAAGCTGCTGCCAAATGGAAGAAAGTCAGAATTGCAGAAAATGTCCGAGTAATAATATATCGGCCGGCGCGGTATTGGACATTTGCGATTTCCGCGAGGGGACCGGTGGTCTATCGTTGTTGACAAACGAAGGAAGGCTAGGTCGAGACGTCGAATAGGATTTAGACGATCTGAGGATGGAATGGCATCGAGGGTGGGTCCCCACCCGAGGAAATAACGTCGGCAGCCCGCCGAATGGCAAACGCTACACGGGAGAGAGCGTGGTAGCACAATCAGGCTTGATGCCAAACAGTTCTAGCCACTCCCAACCGGTTCCACCCGTGGGATTGGTTGGCAATTACAAGATGTGCGATAATCCGCAGACTTGGCAGCGGGCGCCGCTTGCGTTAACCCACCAAGATTAACACTTACCTACACGTAACTCTTGGCTCCCGCTTGGCTGCCGCTTGCTTCTGCCTCTTGCTTCTTCGTCACCAGCCACCCGCGCCGTTTCGCCTCTTATGGATATTAATAACGTATCTTCCTGTACCTCTAAGAGTATTACACCGCCTGGTAGGACCGGCAAGAACCAAGTTTCTCGACCCGCAAAGAAACCACCTGTCTACCGTAATTTTCTACGCATCCGGAGCGGCAGGAAAGCCGGAGAAAATTGCATAAGTTCCTACAACGTCGCAACGGCGAGGTGTTAATTGCGATTTTTGTCTCGTTTATAATGTTTCATATTATAATGTTCGCGTCACTGCAAGATATTTTCAACATAATGTCCGTAATAAGGATTATAGATTGCGTTCTCGATGTCTTCCAGAAAAAAATATCCATTGTAGGAATGTGAATTTAATCCGCGCTATTTCGCAAGTACGAAATTGATTAAGGCGCGGTTTATATCTTCTCATGCGACATTTAAAGCATCCCGCATCGATTGCGACCGTTATCAGGTTCCATGGTGGAGCTGCAGGCTTCCGCGGAGGAGCTCAACGTAACTCAACCAGAGGAGAACTACCGGGGGATTAAAGTTGCTCTGGCAAAAGTCCCTGAATCTTGCGGACTATGTCGGCCGACCCTCAGCAGCAGAACTTAGATTTATGCCGCGAAACCTTTGGAATTACCGAATCGAGGATTTATTTCTCTTTTCGCTCCCGTTCGCTTTCCTCACCTTCGCGTATAGAGGTGGAACGCATCTAATCCCGCGAAAGCAGAAACGCAGGGAATAGTAAAGTGCAAGTTAATATCTCTTCCCTTCTCCCCCCCTTCCTCTCTCTCTCACTCTCTCGTTATTTCTCTCGTTCTCTATTTAATTATCAGACAATAGCGCGATGGTAATAATTCTTAACTGAAGTCAAGCTTGCTCCTCGACTATTGTTGTCTTTTCTGAAAATACACTAAGCTATTTTCACCGGGATACAAGAGGTAACATGCGATTCAACTATTACATCAGTGCGAAGCTCCGGCGAGACTCATAATCGTTACCGCCATTTCCGAGCATATCAACGATAGCTAAAGAACTTTTAAAGCCCTGCGGAGCCCTGGAGTGCGGTTGCTGTTTGGCGGGGAAGATAACCGGTTTCTAATTGTGGATTTGCAGTTTCATTTGGCTATCGATCTCCCGCGTTAAGGCCAACGGGAAAGGTATATCGCGGTTATATCGTGTAACCGCATTCGGTGACGTTACATTAGTCCCGTAACAGACAGACCGTGGTTAAATGTCTACTCGACCGGAAGTCAGATAGCAGATTGTCATGTATAGCGCTATAAGCCATGATTAATTTCCATCCCGTAAGAAGTTTAAGCGCTTGCATTAACCATTTAGACTTTACTATTTTTGTCTTCGATTTAAATTTCAGAATAATCTATCGCGCGTTTAGTCGACGAGAATGCACAATGCATTTGTTAGATTTTCAAATTCTTCTGAAATCAGTTCACATGCCTCTACTAAAGCACGCAGTGATTTCTCTTCCAAGTAAGATAAAATTACTAATTTACTCATACATATGAATTTTTGCTGTTTCGCAACACATTAAATGCGTTGCTTTTAAAATGGTTATCCGACGGCCTGAGAGCAAGAAAAAAGCGGACGAATAACGAGGGCGGAATGTCCGACGGTACTTGTTTTTTTACACTTGTCGTGCACATCGGGCGCGGTATGTTTCGCGAGCTCCTCGCGCGACTGCAGGAAACATTTACGACTAATGCAGACGACCACGTCAGACACCTTAAAGGTTAGCATGCACGTGAGCCATTCGTCGAAGCGTGGTTAACAAGGTGTACCCTGCGGCGCGACACTCGTAAACGGAAACTTAAACGGCGCCACGACGCTTGGAACGCGTTTAAATTCCATCGGGCGGCGGGAGCGAGAGAGAGAGAGAGCGAGAGAGGGGGAGGAGGAGAGACGCAAAGTATTCACGGTCTTTCGCTAAATACACGGCGTTCTCGTCTGCTTGACGGGAGCGGAGAGGATCGCGGGATGGCAGGAAGCACGATAGATACGGATAGGTGTGTGGCGAACCTCTGCGGTCTCTCTTACTCGTTCTTCGTTAATTTATGCGTGCGCACCTAATTAAAACGAGAGCGCGAATACTCGCTCTCGTGCACCTGCGTTCATTATTACTGGCTCGCGCCAGTTTTCCGCCGTTTCACTCGATCGTGAGTTTTGCTCGCGGATCTTAAGCGACTGCTCTCCTCAGCCATACTTCTCGTTCCTATCTCTCGTCCTCTTATCCTCGTGTCGCGATAGTTGGAAGACTCCAGACGAGTCGGGCAAATTAAAGGTCCTCGGCAGAGGACGACCGAAGCGCAGGGTGTGTTGGTTCGCGAAGAGAAATTTTCGACTTTTGTAATTTTCGATAATATCTATCAATTTGATCGCTATTAACAATTAGGTTTAACGCACAATAACGTAGACACATTTCAGTACTTTGATTTTCATTCTTCGATAAATATATAATTAAAAATACTCTCTCTCTCTCTCTTTGTCTTTCTCTTTCTAAATCTAGTAGTAAATATTCAGTGATCGTACACGTTTAATTTGCGGATATATAATACAAATTTGCAGAATTAAATCTCTCGTTCTGGAACCGTTGGCTTATATTCTGTTTCTCCTCAAGATAAAATCAGTAAAATCGCGAGATGTTCCTTCATCTCAGACCGCTGTAACAATCATTCGAGAGAGAAGATATCGAGAAATTATCATCACGTCGTCAGGGGATTTCCATTATTATGGAGATGGGAATCGCCGTCGTGAGGAAGAAGGAAAGAAACCCGTCGCGCCCTAAGTTCTATCAACAAGCCGACAAGTCTAACGCCGTCGTTGCCGCCGTCGTCATCACTGACCGAAAGATAGAGCACGCGCGATGCACTAACGAGATACAGTCATTAGGCGTATTTAGTTTACGAGCGTAGCGGGGCATCGGGAGGGTCCTGATGGGCAAAAATTCAATAGACCTCCATGCGATAGAACACGGTTCGCTGGCACTGTTAAACGGTCCTCCACTCACGTAATGCCTCGCCACTTATAACCGGGGCCGGAAGACGTAGGAGAGAAAGAAGGAGATTGGACAGCTAGATATTATATAAGTTTTATAACCGGGCCGAGAGCACCCCTCATGAACGCCCTTCTATCTTCCCGTCGCCGGCAGCGTTGTTGTTTTCGATTTGCGGTGAGACATTCATTACCGTCGATAAGTGTTCCCACATTTATTTCAGATAAATTTTGAAAACTTTGTTGATTAATATCGTTAATTAGATGATATTATATCACTTAAGTTATTCCATCCGGATAGAATATATTATATACACGGAGAGAATTTTATTTTAAAATTTACCCTGAAAATCATGTTATCTTCTGTTCTCTGTTTTTTTTACTGTGCACTACAATAAATTTGTTGTAGTATATATTTAAAAAACTAGCGAAAATTAAATAAAATTTGTCGAAATACTACGTTGTCCCACGATTAACGTGATTTTCAAGGTAAATTTTAAAAGGAAAATTCTCGCGTCGAATTCGTATTCCTCTTATTTACAATAGTTTCCGTTTTATTGAGACTATATCGTTATTAAGGAGAAAACTGATCGCAATTTGGACGTTCAATTTATATTGTAAAAGAGACTGCGTGAATTCAACCGAAAATGTGCACAAAACATTATTACGTATAAACGCCGAACGCCATTCTTCGCTGTCACAAGAAACCTTGACGTTAGCAGAATTCTGCTGACTGTATGCGTAAATGAAATAATACTTATCGACCAACCGCGCACAAACTTTTCGCACAATGTCGTCTCGGTTCCCCAACCCAATCCAACCCCTTCTCCCCCTCTTTGACTCGCAGGGGGGGACATGACGGCGACAGTCGCTCCATATATATCGTTTCACTTTCCTTTTTTTTCTGTTCGATTTTCCCTCCGCTCCACTTTCGCAGCTATGCGAGCGTGCACGTAACCACGGGCCGGTAATTTGCGAAAGTACGAACGTCTGCTCAGGCGGAGGGACGACTCGCGGAATATAAGAACGCGGGACTTGTTGCTGGGTTTCCAAGCGGCAAGCCCGGGGAGTCCCGCAATATACCGGAGGAATTCGATAGTTTATTGGCTTTCCTTGGACGTGGTAGAACAACGTGGCGGAAGAAGAGGGAAGAGGAAAACGGCGGCGGGCGGAAGAGAGTAGCGAAAAAGGAAGAGAAATGGCAGCGCCGTAGAAACAGAAAGAAATGCGAACGGAAGATAGAGAGGAAGGAGAGGAGGTGACGGTGCGAGAGAAGGAAGGAAGAAAGCGGAGACTGGTGACTATGGACCGCGGCGTCGGCTTGTTTATGGGAGTGCCGATGCGCACCATCTGCTCAAAAAGACTTGTTG